ACAGGCCCAAGTCCGCCCTCCGGAAGTCCATAGTCGTCATTTTGCTGATCCCTCTCCTTACTTCGCTCACAATTGAGAATTCTGTCATGTCATGGTCCCTAAGCCCAAGATGGCCTCCGACCACCTCCGGCCACAACAACGCCATGCAACGCTACAGGCTTGGGGAGGGGTGGCTGGAGAGCTGCCCAGCAGAAAAGGATCTGGGGGTGCTGGTTGGCAGCCGGCTGAACATGAGCCGTCAGTGTGCCCAGGTGGCCAAGAAGGCCAACAGCATCCTGGCCTTTATCAGAAATAGTGTGGTCAGCAGGAGTAGGGAAGTGATCATGCCCCTGTACTCATCACTGATGAGGTCATACCTCGAATCCTGTGTTCAGTTTTGGGCCCCTCACTACAAGAAGGATGCTGAGGTGCTGGAGCATGTCCAGAGAAGGGCAGTGAAGCTGGTGAGGGGTCTGGAGCACAAGTCTTATGAGGAGCAGCTGAGGGAACTGGGCTTGTTCAGTCTGGAGAAGAGGAGGCTGAGGGGAGACCTCATTGCTCTCTACAACTACCTGAAAGGGGCTTGTGGTGAGGTGGGTGTTGGTCTCTTCTCCCAAGTGACAGAACGAGAGGAAATGGCCTCAGGTTGCGCCAGGGGAGGTTTAGATTGGATGTTAGGAAAGATTTCTTTACTGAGTGGTCGAGCACTGGAACAGGCTGCCCAGGGAGGTGGTGGAGTCACCATCACTGGAAGTGTTTAAAAAACGTGTCGACGTGGCACTTCAGGACATGATTTAGTGCGCATGGTGGTGGTGTGTTGATGGTTGGACTTGATGATCTTAAAGGTCTTTTCCAACCTTAATGATTCTGTGTCATTCTATGTGAATTCCTCATCCACCCAACAGTCCACCATACAATTCTCATACTTTGGTATTCCCTGCCTGCACCTGAGCAGGTGGATGAGTACAACTAAGTTAACATTTGCACAGACTGCTGCCAGGAGAACTTGTGCAGCTCAAGAGCTTGCATGGTGGGATATGTGCATTAAAAAAAGCCTACCAGAGTAGTACAAAGAATATGATTCCTTCTCTATGGCTTTGTGGAAATAAGTACATTTTTTTTCCCAAAACTTGTGAAAATGAAGAAGACTTGGTTCCATACTGCTGATTTTGAACATGAAGATAATGTACCAATCTCAGTCATGTTTTTAGAAAAACACCATTGGTTCATAAAGATACTGCATATAAGGGGAGGCACAGCTCAATACATCTGAATTAGGACAGCAAGTACTTAAAAAAGTTCCAGTCACACATATTAAGATACATCTTGATTTATTTGTGTGAGATACCATAGCTGGTGCTTTTTGTGTTTTCTGAAAGAAGCGGGTTTTTTTAAGTACATTTTATCCTGTTTGTCACCATATCCTAAATGGATCACTTAATGTGTCTGCTCAGTTTACCCATGATTGCAGTAGTGTGCCTGAGTGCTGCGGCACAGCAGGGTTTCAGACAATAAACCTGATTGGGATAAGCCTGTGTCATGGAGAAGCAATACTATACAGCATCGGGAGCCCTGAAAGTCACCGGGTACAGTTGCCTGAGAAGGTGAACCACTTAGGCTGAAAAGACCAGTTGCTGCTGCCTTTACTTGAAAACTTAAGGCTCATTTTGACAGGGTAAGGAAATGCATTTGTCAACCTTTTGCATGAGACCTCCATCTGGAGCAGAAGGAGGGCTGGAAAGGCAATCACAAGTTACAAAGATATGAGTATTGTTTTGTGGCTGCCTGAAAACCTACGATACTTAAAATTGCAGGTACAAGAGTAATACAATGGGGTAAATACCTCATTTACAGATTTATTGCTTAGAGTATTTCCAAAATACGCAGTCTAAGTATATAGGTTCTGAGCAACAATGTGAAGAGGGAAAACATTCTCTCCATAAAAATTTTAATGAGTCTAGTTAGTTAATTTTTTTAACAAATAATCTATGTTCTGAACATCTGCAGGAACATCTTTCACATTTAGAAGTCAGGAACATGTAATGAGAAAACAGGGTTTTCTGTTGTTCTTATTCTTAAAAAAAAAGAGAGACCTGTTTTCCCAAGTAGGGCTATATGACATGCATGACATTATTCATAGTGACAAAAATATATTCCTTGTGTAAGAATTACTGCTCCTACATTGAGTATAATAATATGCAAGGTTTTTATTTTTCAATGCCATTAACCCATTTTCCTAGGAACTTAAAATGTAGGAGAACCTGCCAATGAGCATAGCACAACCAGGGTCAAAATGGCAAGCTGTCTTTTCTGGATGTTCAGATGGGCTCCAGGATCCTTTGCCCTGTGTGCTCGTAGTTACAAAAGCAGAGGCAGTCTGTGGAATTCGTCCAGAGATCTAAAGTCATTGAGACAGACACTTCCTTTCACTTGAGTTAGTCTGACAGCTTGGCTTACGAACCTCCCTTTGATGGGTCTAAACTTTGTGCATATGTCCGAAACCATAAACATCAAAGCCCAAACACGAGTCACTGCTCCTCATCTACTGTCGGTTTGCACCAGTCAAGAGCTGCAGCACTCTGATTCCCCCTTTTCTTGATTGTCCGTATGAGGAGAGTGGTGAGGTATTGTGGGGGCAATCAGGGAACTTGGTGCCGCAGGCTAAAGCTTGGTGACATTTCCATAGTCTCTGCTTCGCTGTGATCTGTTTGGAATTTGAGATGTCCAGTATATGGGGCTGCTAAAGGGTAATTAAAAAAAAAGAAATGGAAAAAAGAAAGTGAAGAAGCAAACACGATAACAATCTGGGAATTAGAAATGGACTTGCTACCCTTGTCTGGTTTCAATGTCTATTGAAAATTACTGTTGCAGGAAGGGAAAAATAGACATAAGTTTTAAAGAGCCCAAATTTTCTTTCTTCTTTTTCTTTTTTTTGATTTTGTTCTAAGTTGTTTTTTAAACCATAGTTTTTGCTAGACTCCTATATTAGAAACATCTGTTCTGGATTTTCCTGGTTTTGCTGAAATACTCCTTGAGGACGAGAAAAGGTACAGGTACATTTCAGCAAAGAAGAGATAATTTGGAGGGAGTCATTAAAACTCTATGTTGAAATATAGTATGAATAAAAAGAACAAAAATCAATGCAAATTCTTAGCACTTTTGTCAGGAGAGTCTTTTGTTTCACTAACTTGGCTTTCTTTGGAGACCACAGATGTCTGCAATGCTCCACACTCCCGTACTGTTTCTACTATTTAGCTGGCAACGGCCTAAATATACTTTTACTCTCAGTTTAATCCCTGTATAAAGTTTTGCTGGCACATATGTTGATGAAGTATATGAAGTGATGCCACTGATACTGCTGTGGAGTCAAAAGTCACAGCAAAATGTTGGGTTTTAGCAAAACAGTCCTTTTGTTGCAATTACTTACTCTGGTTGGGAGGTGCAGAAATGCACTGCATTGCTGGCGTGCACTAACTGCCTCTGCATCCAAAGCCCTTGTAGATGTGGTTGGCAAAAGGCTTTCTGAGTGGTACAGAATCTTAACACAAACAGAAGCAGTCCCCAAGTATTAGTTCCTTTGAGTCCTGAAAATGTTTTGTAAAGGTTTACATGAGATACAGTTTTGATTGTTTTTCAAATACAATTTCAGAGGGTATTTTTCCTGGAAAAGAAGAAATTTAAATTTTCTTGCAAAATGAAGGTTTAGATTTCTGTTCAATTGTAATAACATTTTTATAATGAAAGGATTGACCCTCTCTACAGCGGTAGGTGTATAGGAGAAATGGAAATCAGACTGTCACATTTAAAGATAGTTCAGAAATAATGAAGCAATTTGTGAAGTAGAGATCTGCTTGTACTGAGGTATAGGTCTAGGTTTATCTTTTCCTGTTCTTACTGCTCTTGATATGAAGTAATTACAAAATCTCCAAACATAAAAGTAAAAAAAGTTTTATTAAGAATTACAATATCCATAAGATGCAACTAAACAGTGAAATGGACAAAAATATTTGTAATTCCTTTAAAATTGTTCTCTTTTTCTTCATTCTTTTGAAGACAAACAGCATGAAGTTGAAATCCCTTCTCCAACACAGAAAGAGAAAGAGAAAAAGAAGAGGCCTATGTCCCAGATCAGTGGAGTCAAAAAACTGATGCACAGCTCCAGCCTAACTAATTCCAGTATTCCCAGATTTGGAGTTAAAACAGACCAAGAAGATGTTCTTGCCAAGGTAGAGAATATATAAATCCTTGAATTTAAACCATTGAATTAAAATAGCAGGTAGACTTGTCAGTATTATTCCATCCTCTGCTTATAAGCATTGATTTCAAGCTGTAAGCACCAAAGGCTGGCCTCACTTGAAATAATACAAATTTTGTGAAGTGGAAGAGTAACCAGTAAAATCAGAATTGGGCCATAAGGGTTAATTTCCATGTGGAGATGGACTGTAAAGTAGCATTTGTGTATATATTAGTAAAGCTGCTTATTCATAAATAATATCTGAGGAATGAAGAGTAAACATACCAAATACTGTTACAGGAATGAAAATATATAGCAGTCCTATGGTTTTTGAAAATGCACAGCTGGTATATAGCACTACAGCTATCCTTCCAGGTGCTGTCTTCAGCTGTATCATTTTATGTACATCATTTGTGTTTTTATTTTTAGTGACGTTTCGTATGACTTTTGCACCTGCAGCTAACTAGTTCGCAATAATCTAAAACAGGCATAAAGGGATTATTAATTTCATTTTAGAGTTTTTCTTTGTGAAATATGCTTATCCTTATGTTTTCAGGAATCTCCCCCTTTATTTGAAGAGTGTTTCTGAGAACCAGGGAGACAGCAGCAGAACCACAGTGTCTCTGGAGGTTTCCTCCTCGCTGAACTCTGCTGTCACTGGGCAGTAAGATAGCAAAGTGTGTCAGTTCAGCTCATTCAAGGTAGCACTTTTCCCTGTGGAGCAATCCATTTAAGAGGCACTTTCTTTCCTGCTTAGTGAATTAATATCTGAAAAGCTGGTAGCTGCAAATTCAGGTATTACAAGACTAGTAGCAGGCAACTTTCCCGTTTTCAGAGTTTAGCATATAATTTTCACAGTGGCCATGTTTGAATCTTCATGAATCTGCTGTTTGTAGCTGTTTCAGTCAAAAATCGCTAGAATTTGTGTGTTTGTTAGATTTCAGTGTGTCTGTTGCTTAATTCTGCTCTAGGAACTAGAAAATGTGAACAAATGGGGCCTTCAGGTTTTCAGAGTAGCAGAGTTATCTGGAAACAGACCTTTGACAGTCATCATGCACACCATTTTTCAGGCAAGTAGTAGCAGCCATGCTGCTTTTTGCTTATCTTAGAGATTTCTCTGGACTTCGTGATCTTTACTGTTTCTCTTTTCCTTTTCTAGGAACGGGACTTGTTAAAAACATTTAAGATTCCAGTAGACACTTTTATAACTTACTTGATGACCCTAGAAGACCATTACCATGCAGATGTGGCATATCACAACAACATACATGCTGCAGATGTTGTTCAGTCAACCCATGTCCTGCTATCAACCCCAGCGTTAGAGGTAAACTATGCTGAGGTGGAAAGGAGGCAGGTGTGAGAGAAAGGGACATACTAAGACTCTCTTAAACTAAATATTAAAGATCTTAGTTTCTGCAATAGTTTTAAAAGAAATCTTAACATATCTTTCATCAATTGTGCTCTTTTAAAGCTATGTTGTGAGGATCAAAGCTTGTTTACATGTAAATATTGTGCAGAAAATGTCACATCTTTTTCTTTTAAATCATGGTTTTATACTTGCAGATTTGTGCTGTCATAACCTTTTTCATTGTAATACAATGCATAACTTGTTTCTACCATTTCATTAATAATACTACATCCTGTTCTTTCATTGTTTCCCATGTGTGATTCTCACTAACCACAGTTTGTGGAATTGCTTAGGAAAGGTGGTGATAAAACGGGATTTCCTCAACAGGGCCATTTGGGTTTTGGTTTTTGCTTGTACATATTCATTGTGGTCCTGAAAGGCTACTTTTGTGTTTGTTTCCTAGGCAGATTGGGACATATACTAAATTTTCATTGAACTATCATTTTTTTCATAAATATTTCAGAATTGTTTGGGAAAAAAATCACATTTCGTGTGTTCTTTTCTGAAGAATTCTCTTGTTGGAAGTGCTTAAATCTCTGAAGTAGAAGGAAGTGGAAGACAGATGGAGATTACTTTCCCTTTTTTAAGCACAGTTCAGATCTTAGCATAGCGAACATTGATATATCCCAGTAAGTTGTTGGAAAAAGGCAGCTAAAGCAAGCAGTTGAAATTTTAGTAGTTCAAAAGGATTTGCCCTCATTTTCAAGGACTTTTTCATAATGATCAATCTTTCATGTTACTGAATGCTTTTGCTTTACCTTCTTCTTAACAAGAGGACTATAAGTGAACCTTGAGACTGTTGGCAGGTCTTGATCCTTAAAGACTCAGGAATTCTCTTGGGAAAGATTTTCTTTATCTCAAGAAGGAAGATCAGATTATGTTCTTAAATCACCACTGGCTTCACCAAGCAGCTGAACTGGTCGTCAGTAGCATTTTGTTTTTTTTTTCCAAATCAACGTTTTTCACGGCCTTGTTCTTGGCGGAGCTTTAGCCAGTAAAATAGCAAAGTCCGCCTGGTGCCACTGCTGACCCACACACTTCTGAACTGTTCTTGATCAATCATGAAAGCAGTTACATAATGTGGGTGCTTGTGACAACAGGGGACTGGGCTCAGTGACATGCCAGGTCCATTGCAGTCCTATCTTCCTAATAATCTCACACAGAAGAAATATCAGTAAGTGTTAAGTAAGATGCCTTGCAGTGTGTCACCATTTCCTTTAGCATCATTTAGGAAATGTGCATCTTTCAAATACAGGACAATACGTAGGAGTCAGGCTGAAATTTTTAACTTCAATTTGTGCTCTGGGTTGGAAAACCTGTACTTAATGATGTAATAAAAGCAGATTTATTTACAGACCGAAGCTGAAAAAGCTCCGGTTGTTACGGAATTTAGTGAATGCTGTCAGTGTGAAGTAAGGATTATTTTACTTTGGCCAAACTTGAAATATTTATGAAATTCTACATAATTGATGATTTTACAAAAGTTTGTGATAGCCTGTATGTAAAATCTCTTTGAGATCCCTGATACCGTTCAAATGTGTTTTGGTTGCTTAGATCTAGATTCAAACTAGAGTCCTTTTTATTGAAAAGTTTTTTTCATTGATTAGTGATTGTCATTTCTGTTTCATGATTTTCTAGGCAGTGTTCACTGATTTGGAGATTCTTGCAGCAATTTTTGCCAGTGCAATACATGATGTAGATCATCCTGGGGTTTCAAACCAGTTTCTTATCAACACAAGTAAGTTTGATGTTTAGTGGTTTTCTCAAAAATTTGCTGCAAGATCTGCACAAAGCACCTGAAAAATACACGGTTCATTCCTTGTTTGCTTCTCTCCATTTTCTCAGTAAATAGATAGGTGTTGGTATTTTAATCTGGATATTGTTTTGCATTTCTTGTAACTTTAAAACTAATATACATAGTACCCTCTAGCAAGAACTACTAAGACATGAGCTATAATCCCTGCACTATTTCAATGTATTGGAAGTGGTCTCACCTGGAAATTAGTTGGTTTGCATTAAATAAATAAATTTGTAGGAAAAAATGAAGTAAAATAAAAAAAAAAGGAAGACAACAGTTTATGGATTTATGTTGGAAGCATATGATATCACCAAGGATAGCCATACATTCTTAAGACATTTAGAAAACAAGTCTCTTTTTCGCAGACTGACAGGCCCATCTCAGTCTCTCCCTGGCTGCTGTACTTGGTTTCTGATCTCTGCATACTCATGCCTTTTGAACTGAATTTTCCCAGCCTGTCCCTGCAGGCTATGGAAAACCTTTTTTTTATTATTTTTATTTGTGAGTCTCTTGCTGGCATTCCCATGTGTGGAAGAAAAAGCCCTAATGAAACGAGACCCTAATGTCACCTCCAAATTTGAAACCTAGTGTACTTGTTCTGCTTTTCTCAAGGCTGTTCTCTGTAGCATTGCATGAATCTCTCCCTCCTCTTTAATCTTCTACTAGAAGAAAAACACAATTAGCTTCATTAAACCTGATCATGGTGCACTTATTGAATGCCTTGTTGCCCCAATGTAACCTGCCTTGATTTCAGTGGCATATGTTACCATTGTAAGTGGGTAGCACATTACAATGTAATTACATTACATTGTAAGTGCAAGTTGCATCATATAATGTTATTTCTTTAGCCGTCTGACAATTTCTTCTTTTATGGTAACTGACCCAGAAGTACAAAAGTTGAAATAATACTAATAATCCAAGAACAGAAGAAGAAGAAGCAGCAGCTACAGAAACGGAAACATAGCTAGGGTTGTGTACTTGACTCATCTGGTTGCACATTTATAGATACTGTCTTTCCTGCACTTTGGTGAATCTGTTGCACAGGTGCTAAAATAATATGACCCCAGATCAGCAGTATAGTTTGAAGCAGGGAGCTCCTCTTCTGACTCATTGCTGCTGTACGTTCGAGTAAGTCCTGCACTCCAGTTGAGCCTGCATCTAATTTTATTTGCCTTAATGGCCTGAGGGCTGCCCTGTAGTGAAATTCAATTTGATGACTCATCTGCAAGGAGGGTGATTGGGATTGACTCTAGATTTCTGGTGCTTTATTGGTAACCAGTACAGTTCACCAGCACGGTATAGGAAGAGTGTGAATCAAGCTTTGTGCACAAAAGAGTGTGTAACACCTAAATTCTTAGGAGTGGGCATACATAAGTAAAGTTTTTATTTGTTTGTTTGTTTAATCAGAAATTGAATATCAGGATATAGTGGTGGCTCTGAGGGTGCTACAGAGAAACCACTGAGTTGTTTGGGTTTAAGCAGGATGACTGGCTAGTTGAAGGGACCAGCAGTGACATGTAAAGCTTTCACTTTTAGGCAGACAGCTGAAATTCAGCTAAGTTAGGAGTGATTCTGATGCTGCTTATTTAGTGGCTTTGAAGAAATGTCTTGTTTTTCTCAATTCAGCTTTTGATAGAGAAGGCTTCCATGTCAATCAAGTAACATCACTAACTGGACCTGCCGTTGCCAAGCTGAGAGAGACAAAGGGATTTTATCCTTTTTGCGTAGTTCTGTGTACAAAGAAGAAACTGTAATGACAGAGATAAAGACCATCTAATTTAGGTCTCTCAAATCTTAGATTTTCCTAACCTCTAAAAGGTCATTTGCTTCCACCTAGTTTTGTTTTCCAGTGAAACTTACAATGTATTAACATTTCACTAAGTATAAGAATACATTTCTTAAAAGCATAGTAGACTTACGTGTACTTAAAGTATATACCTATTTGCCATATTTCGTCTTACTCTTTATAATTACTCACATGGGAAATTTCTGAACATTATTTTCCTATTTAAGGATTTAAAGTCTATTTACAGGGTTGTCTAAAAATCTGATTCCCCTTGAATGCTATTAAAGACCAAACAAATACAGATTGTATTAGCACCAGAGGAGATGCTTATTTGATCACTGTGATCACTGATTCACTATCCTGAAGTTTATAATGTGTTACAAAGATTACCAAGGGGGAATTTCTTCCATTTCCACCTCCATTACAAAACTGAGCACATTCCAGCTCTGTAGCTCCAGCCCTTCCAAAGTGTTTTGGCGATGTTGAGTGCTTTGCAGTTGGGGTCATCAGAAGGCTGTTTGAAAGGAAAATAAACTAGCGCCTGTCTTCTTTGTAAGAAAAATAACAAACAGGCAAGCTTTGTAAATGTTCTGTGAAAGATGAAAGAGGGGTCATTTGACAAAATCACTCTCTTTTTCCTTCTGCTATTACGATTTTGCTGCCATTGAGATAAGAAAAGGTAGAGGAAGGGTTTCCTGATTCAGAAGATTGATGTATTCAAGGCAGGAGAGGAAGACAGCAGGAGAATGGATAATGAGACTAAAGAATGAGACTAAAGAAATCTGAAGAGCAGAGCTTTTATAGGCACCCCATTGAGCCAGAGAGGTTTTAAAACAAAGCTGCTGTAAGAGAAGATAAAGACCTCAACGAGTAGAATAGACTGACGTATGGTTAGATTTAGGGTGAAACAGCTGTAAAAAATCGAAGTTAGTATCACATGTGACAAGTGTGATTGCATAAAAAGTATTTGGTTTTTATGACATATTCCTTTGCAACCCATGTAAAACATATGCAAACTGACTGTGCGGTATCCCCAGGTGGAATCTAAAGGTGTGCAGAAAATTGTCATAACTGCTTTTTATTTGTCAGAGCTGGCTGTTCAGCGAGAAAAATGCAGACCTTGCTTGTGTGCCTTAGCACAGGCATTGCTAAGAAGGTGTATGTTATTCTCACAGCCATATGGAGTGACCTGATCAAGTTAAGAATACTTTGGTTACAGAAGGCATCAGGCATTGACTATGCTCAAGTACAAGGCAGTAGGCAAGGCCACTGCTTGCATTTTCAAGCCACATGGCCTTCCAAGGAAAAGACCAGAAGCGTAACTGTTGCCATCCTACCAGCCTCTTCTCAAAATATTCAATTGCCATGGACTAATGGCCTGTAGGCGTAATTGGCTAGGCATCTGAGTGCCTTAGCTAACTGCAGAAGGACATGGTTTGAAAACCAAGATGTGTGCGCTCTGCCTGACCTGCAGCAGGTCTAAACTTTCTATAAGTTCATCTGTAAATCTTGTTATGAATTTAATGAATTTGAAAAATCTTAAGGAATTTGGTAGAAGGACAATGTTTAGTAACGTTCCGCCCTGCGATTGTTATTGCAGATTCTGAACTCGCCTTGATGTACAATGACTCATCAGTACTGGAGAATCATCACTTAGCTGTGGGCTTCAAGCTGCTGCAGGAAGAAAACTGTGATATTTTCCAGAATTTGACCAAAAAACAGAGGCAATCATTGAGGAAAATGGTCATTGACATTGTGAGTTCTGCTTGAGAGTCCCTCCTCCACAGTGCTACCAAGTTAAATAATAAAGCACAGAAGCATTTAATGATAAATTACATGTCATTAGTCCCATAACCAATGAAGTAAAAGTTTGAAGTTTTATCATGACTTATCCAAACATGAATAGTGGGTTCTTTCCAGTTTCAGTAACCATGTATACCTTTTTAGAAGGTATACAACCCTGCTTCAAGCTGTTTTAGTACTGACATATATGCCATTTCAGCATCACAGTTAGAATGCTGAATGCCTGATGAATTCTTGATGAATTTAGGCTGAACAGAACATTCTGAACAATCCTTAACAATCATTTGGTTGTATTCTTAAAATAAGCAAAATTAAAACCTGCTGTATTGGACACAAGTGACATACAGGAGTCAGACTTTTGTTGTGTATTCAGACACAGGAGTTATGTGTTCCCTCCAGAACTGTTCATTTATGTGTTCAAAGATTTTTTTAAAAGTCAGTAGAATAATTTACATATTACTCATTTAATTTTTTATTTCTTTCAAGGTACTTGCAACAGACATGTCTAAGCATATGAATCTATTGGCTGATTTAAAAACTATGGTTGAAACCAAAAAAGTGACCAGTTCTGGTGTCCTACTTCTTGATAACTATTCAGACAGGATTCAGGTAAGAAAAATCATCTATAGATGGTCATTTGTATTAGCTTACATCCTGAATAGCATTGGCCTGCCCATTCTCCAGCATGGGTTAGATCAGCTGTCAGTTCTCACACCATGGCTCACTACCTTCCCTCTACTCCCTCTTATGTTTCTACCTGCGACATACTCTGTTAGGTACTGAATGACTCTCGGAGAGAGTAACAAGGTGCTAGAGTACTTCTGGACTAAATGAGGCCATCCCTTCAAATTATCGGCACCTGACTGGTCTTTCTCTCAAAGATTTTCTGTCCCTTATACAGGCAGAAGCAGCAGAAGTGAGGTAATTCATGCCTATGAATTGTGAAAACTGTGAAGAACACCCAAGTACATAAGTTTTTGTTGTTTAGAATAAATCTTGCACAAGATTCTGTTTGACAGCCACCAAAAGTGTAAATGGACAAGGAGCTGGTTTTCTCCAGTGTAATAACACTGCAGGTGTTCAATCTGTTTCAGGTTCTTCAGAATATGGTGCACTGTGCAGATCTAAGCAATCCAACCAAGCCACTCCATCTCTACCGCCAATGGACAGACAGAATAATGGAGGAATTTTTCCGTCAGGGAGATCGGGAAAGAGAGAGGGGAATGGAGATAAGTCCCATGTGTGATAAGCACAATGCCTCTGTAGAAAAATCACAGGTAATTGACTTTGAGTAGGGAGTTAAATAACACAGTGTGACATTTTAACAGAAAAGGAGGGTCCATAGCCATGTTTTGATTAATTTCTGAATGCACTATTTCTTTTTTTTTCTTCTGTTAATCAGCTTCTGAGTAGTAAGTGAGGGGAGCTGAGATTTTTACTGTGAAAATGCAGTGCATGACAGTGTGTTTGCTGAAGGGATTCCTTTGCTGTTGTGATCTGCAATGAAGCATACACGTCAAAAGAGGATATTGCACAGCTACTTATTAGGGTTTCCTTTAAAAGCAGAATTAAATATAAAGCAGCTGTTGGCTCACTAGATACAGTGGAATTGTTTAGAATGAACAGTTCATTTGAAACCAAATCCTGTCCAAGTCCCTATCCAATATCCTAAATCAGACTTTTTGAAATGTAAAAGACCGTATTTACTATATAAAACAGTATGGTTTCCTTTCAGCCACCTTTAAGGGTAGTGCATCTAGTATCTCTTACTAGTGTTATATTTCTCATACTTTATGTGACTTATAGCCATAGTTGTTTGTTTGTGAATAAGAGCTCATCCTAATTTTGTATTATTTGAAACAGGTGGGTTTTATAGACTACATTGTTCATCCATTGTGGGAGACATGGGCAGATCTTGTTCACCCGGATGCCCAGGATATCTTAGATACACTGGAGGACAATCGAGAATGGTACCAGAGCACAATCCCTCAAAGTCCCTCTCCAGCACCTGATGACCAGGAAGAGGGCAGGCAGGGCCAAACTGAAAAATTCCAGTTTGAACTAACACTGGAGGAAGATGGTGAATCAGACACCGAAAAGGACAGTGGAAGTCAAGTAGAAGAAGACACCAGCTGCAGTGACTCCAAGACTCTTTGCACCCAGGATTCAGAATCCACTGAAATTCCTCTTGATGAGCAAGTAGGGGAAGAAGTAGAAGAGGAGGAGAACCAAACTGAACCTTGTGTGGTAGAAGACCATTCTCCTGATACATAACAATGAAGACACAGTCTCTTTCTCTCTCGCCCTCTCCCTTTCTTTTCTTCTCTCTCTCTGTTCTTTATTTGTTTGGTTGGTTTGTTTTGGTTTTTATTGAGTAATGGTTTCCAAAGTGAATGTCATATTCTACAACCATGGTCACAATGCGCTGTCATCTGCCAGGATGTTTGTTGTTCAAAACTGACCTTGATGACTCAGTTTGGCACTCAGGAATACTGTAACCAGAATTTTCACCTCCATGGCATCAGAAAGCAGGGGGGAGAATATCCATAAACCACACTCTAGTTAGCTCTCCATTTGGCAGATTTGATTAGATAAAGCTAGTGTTTTCAGAGGAGTTTCACCTCCCAGCCAAATGCTGGTATGCTGTGGTAGTTTTTGAATTCATTGTATTTCACAAGCAAAGCATTGGATAATGTTCATCATGAGAGAAAACAGACAGAAAATAAACTGAGGCTTCTACTGGAAAACAAATGCACATAAATGATGGGACACAACATGATTCTGTTACCAATAGGAAGATGAGCTGTGGAAATTGCATAATTTTCTAATTTCAAGTCTTCCTGATATGTGACTAAAAAAGTGTGACCAGGTGGGTTGCACTAACCTCTGCATTTTGTATAATATGTAAAAGAGAGATCTTTTGTAGAGCTTACTTTTATTATTAAATGTACTGAGGTATTATATTTAAAGAAAAACACTTTCAGACTTCATCTGCCACTGGTTATTTTCTTTCCAAAGAGTAACTTGCAAGCTTTCAGTACAAATCTGTGCTACACTGGATAATACTTCTGGTTTTTTTTTTCTTTCCTTCTGTTTTGGGTTTTTTTTTTAACCTTAGAATCTCATGGTAATATTGAGCTGTAAAAGTCTATTATTTTTTACATTAGTGAGTTTCATGCATATCCTTTCTGTTACATAAAACTCTTTCAGTGTGATTGCTTTTTTGTTTGTTTTTCATCACAATTTTCCCAAATGTATTAGAGGAACTTACGTTGTACTTTTGCCCTCATAGTGGCCTGATCCTGGCAATTCTGTCTTACTACATGAGCTGGTCCGAGTGAAACCATCTGGGACCACTAAGATTAGGATTTGCAGAATTGTCGCCTTACTACAAAAGCAGCTCCTCTGCTATACTAATAAAATTTGTCCCTCTGAAACATGGTTTCCAGACCATTTTTGGCTGGGAGTTATAGACTGCTAAATCAGAACAGGCCAATACAATGTATGGAATATTTGTTCTGGAAAAAAAAGCATTGGTGTAGTATTTCCAGTTTTGACTCTTTTAGTAACTTTTTTATCTGTGTCAGCTATCTAATCAAACTATTTGCTAATCTGAGAACGTACAATGTAAAAGTAATGATTAGCATTATTTTTTCATGTCTTTGTTGCAAGAAGAGCCAGGTCAGTCTTTTATGTTTTTAAGTAAATGAGCAATGCTTTATGAGAGTGGTAGTTTACTTCACATTATTTCGATCTTGTATCCTTTCATCCTTTATCCAGCTTGTCCTGAGGGAATCCTGCTTTTAAGTTTGATTAGTACTGAAAGCTTCTGTAACTTGGAAAGTCAAAGTGAGGGAGGAGTTCATATTTGTCATTTACCAGTGGTGGTGTTCAGTCACATGAAAGAAGAAGGAGTTTTATTTCCTCCGCTTTACTCTTCATTCGAATTGTGATTTTGAGTGTTGAAGATGGGTAATAGTTGCCTAGGGAAGCTAGCAGACTCCCACTCTAAAATTCTGGTAAAATGACAATATCAAGATGATTTCTTAACAAAAGAAGATAGCAACATCTATTATTTCCTATTTGGATTAATTTTGTAGTAGATTTGCAGATGTGAATACGGGGGGTTTTTTGAGTGTCTGAGATCTAGAATAAAAACCTGTTTAAAAATGATTGGCTAATAATTCAGCTTTTAAATGCACTTTGCATTGTTCTATATCCAGGTCATAGTTTTCCCTACCTTTAGCCCTCACAGGGCCTTAGCACAGAGGATGCTGAAGGAGGAAAGAGAATGAAGACAATTCATGGGGATTTTTTTCAGTTTTTTACTACTTGTTGTTGTTGTTGTTGATGATGATGATGTTGTTGTTGTTGTCGTCGTCGTTGTTGTTGTTGTTGTTGTTGTTGTTGTTGATTATTTCTCCCTGAACCTGATCCATCTAAAAATCCTTTCAGTCCCCAAGAGTGCCTGGAACTTTAATAATGGAAAAGCAATATAAATTCCAGAATAACCAATAAGGACCTGAAAAGGTTTTGTATCTGCACTAATTGAGAGTAAATGAAAAGAGTAACACCATATTGTGAGATATACACCCATACATGTGGACAATCAAGTAATAGAAAATTATATCATTTCTTAGAACTGGGGATATAATGCACTGTACAATCTTTTTTTTCCTCTTTTGCCAAAGTGTATTTTAGCATTGCACACTGCTTTAAAACAATACAATTTACAAGTGGCTTTATGTGTTCTGAATATTTTTGCCATAAGAAAATGCAGTGAGTGGATATTGAGTGGGGGAAAAAGAAAATATACCTTGCTTGTAACAGTACACTTCAGCTTGCAGGTTAGTGTATTCAATAATGCTGTATTTGAATTCTTAAATAGTTTTGTGTCATTATTAAGAAAAGATGATGAAAGAATATAGATAGAACAAATAGCATTCACAAGTTTAAAAAACTTGAATGAAATGGATTTTATGGAAAGCTTTGGCAGTTCTTTTCAAATGCATTATTTATTTCATTTGTGCCATGCATTTTTCTCACCAAATGACCTTACCTGTAATACAGTCTTGTTTGTCTCTGTTTACAACCATGTATTTATTGTAATGTACATAGTGTAATGTTAATTGTAAATTATCTGTTCTTATTATAACATCATCCTTGTCAGGGTGGTGTTGCTATATTTGGAAACTCTTGGTGAGAGAATGATTATTGTGTATACATATTCCTTGTACATTTTTTCTCCTGTAATATATTCTATGTCACCTTAGAGCTTGTTTATGGAAGATTCAAGAGAAGTATAAAATACATAAAGATATATCAATAAAAAAAGCTGCAGGTCTTTGGTCCCAGGGCTGTGCCTTAACTTTAAACAATATTTCCTTCTGGTTTGCTGCATTTGAAAGTAAGGTAGCTGTGGGGCTAGGGCTGGGCATTTCTTACCATATTTTTAGTTGCTAACTGATGGGGTTACTTGTATGAGCTAATATGCATGATACAATGAGCTTTCATTCATGTCCCCACTGGAAGTTCAAGCTTTTACAGACTTCTGGCAATCTAATTGTACTGCCTTTCTGTTTATCTTTTTACAGGTTATCATCAGGGATTATTACAGCCGTTTTTTTCCCTCATAAAAAAAATAAAAATTGATGCTGTATTTCAGTACTGAATTGCACTGAAACAGCTTTGGGAAGCATCTCCAATAAACATTTGATTTTAATGCATATTGGGAAGTGGAATAATTTGAATTAAAGGGTTATAACTCATATACTTCTACAGTCGTCTGTAATATCCCTTCTTTATTTAGTAGCACAAATTATCACTGTTTAAGCAGAATCCATGAAGTAGGACAAAAGACAACTTTAATCTTGGAAATGCTTCCCAATACCAATATTAGTGTTACAAGCAGCCAAAGTCTTATTTTATGTAGATGTATCCAAGGCTTTGTACAGGTGAGTATAGCATAATGCACTAGGTCTACAGGAGGGTGGTAAACCTTTAGATCTTTTAATAACACTAGTATTAAGTTTGCAGGTTGGACTGAGCATCTCTTGCTGTTTGACTTTTCACGTTGCTCGAGACTTAGAGCTGATATCAATGAATTTGGCAGAACGAGGTAAATACCTCTCCTCCATTCCAGCGATGCCCAGCCCTTGTAGCATGCAACTTTGTGAAAGGAGAGATTCTTTTTCAACGAAAAACAGAGCCTCCTTTTTGACACAAACTGTAGATTTTAGCAGCCCTGGCCCAAAGGAAATCGATTGCTTTTGTTTTAAATGGTATAAAAGGGATACTATAACAACAGAAATCCTGAACAATTTTTTGTTACTGTTTTAATTTGACTTTTCCTTTGGGTATGTCTTGAGAGTGGCAATTTGTGTGAACATTGCACATGACTATTCTTTCACTGGTTTCTTAGCCTCTCTTACAGCCTGTGGGATAGTACTGTACATCAATACCTTCATATGAAATTTTATATGCAATGGAAATAAAAGCATGGGTTGATTCTGCCTAGTTACTGTATTTGATTTTCTTTTGCAATTTTTTTTAACATATATTTCATAGTTGTGACATCTTAGGAGAAAACCTATTTCCAGAATAATTTGATTACTGTATTCTTGTCATTACTGTTTTGCATAGATAATACAAAATAAATATGAGGGTAAATCAGAAAAGTCAGTCAAATGTGGTATTTCATAAAGAAGTCTAACCCACAAGGTGCTGTACAGTTATGTATAAAGGCATTCAATCTCAGTTTTCAGGAAATTTTAACATTAGCTTCAATGTCAAAAGGAGCCTATCCTGAGAAAATAGAACTTCGTCTTTAAAGAAGCTAAGAGACTACAGATTGCCTGGAGGAGCAATATGTTGGAATACCACAAAGCAAAAAAAAGAATACCATAGTTAAATATATACCATACGACAATGGCTCTAAATGGGTGATAAAAAGAAATTATTTCTTAAAATAAATTTCCTAAATGACAGCTGTTTTCTTGAAGAAGAAATGTGGTCTTAATGCACAGCCAGCTCTTGAAGTGGCTTTCATGCACCTCGATCAGAGTGAAGGTTTTGATGTTTGGTGGGTTGGTTTGCTTAACTGAAAATAATTTCTGATTGAATACAAAAAAGTCTATGTCCATTTTTTCCTTAAGTCTCTTAGAACCTCCTTTGGGCTGGGGATTAGTCTGCAAGGAGTACCAGTCCTTAGGACTGTGTTTTAATCACATCTTGGTGGCAGAAGAGGCTGGTGAATGCTGTGCTGGGAAGGTGAAGGTTGCAGCACTGAGCACGGTTGGGCGGATAAGCCAGCTGGTTGCGGGCAGCTCATCCCTGCACGTTCCCAGCGGTCCTAATGGGAAAAAGGTTTGGATACATCATGGCTATTATGAAGGGAAGTAGGAATCCCAGATTCTTGCTGGCACTACTAAAACGTTTTAAGTTACAAGCTCAGTTACAACAGCTGCGCACGCGGTGAACGTGAAGCTGGCGGGATAGCCCACTGCTTCCTACATCCT